AAAAAAAGTTCGGAGCTTAGGGGAAGAACATATTTAGCTCAGTTATTAAGAAAAGAATAGCAGTGGTTAATGACAAGCCTATTTTGAGCCCCTCATTTGTAATATAAGCTGTGGGAAATAAAGCAGGAAACAGAAACTTACTTCTTAAAAAAAACATACATGTGAGCTTCCGCGTTTCGCAGAAATGAGCGGTCAATATCCATTCCTTGGTGTATAACGCTAACATCAAAATGTAGAAAGTTTTGATAACGCTCGCTTGGTTTATTTTATGCTTGCTTTTATCAAAAAACAGATTTTTTTCCGAAGACGATTCTTTTTGCCTTCGTTTTTGGGGTGATCACTGTTTTTCTACCAGTAATTTACATTCTTATCTGGATTATCTCTTGACTTTCGTTTGCTGCTTTTTTTCTTATCTTTGCGAGGGTTTAAGAAGTTTTTCTCGTATCACAACAATAAAAACTGTCATGTGTAAACGTACTGAGATGTACTTACCAATATTCACAGCGAAATTTTTTAGTTTCAAAATTAACTTTTTTTCGACAGCAAGAGTAGACATCCCCTTTTTTGCAATTCCAGTGATCTGATAAGGATAATTCTGATGAGGCTTCGTAGTGATTCTAAACCTGAGTCATTTTCGCAATGTATCATTGTCTAATCCTTGAAGTTCACATCCTCTCCATTTCTAAGTTGCAAGTAACGCTTTTAGCTAAGCCAGCGTTTCCGTGCCAGCTTTAGTAGTCGAAGCGATCACGTTCCATTTAGTGGTAGTTTTATGTTTCCTGTTTTCGGTATGGATTGCGCGCTCTCAACAAGATGCGCGCTAAAAATAGAAGTCGGCAGCGGCACTCTCCCACGTGTATTGTCCCTACAGAAGAGCTGGTTTGCCTCGTTCTCTCTCTTGTTCGCGTGCTACATCTAGCGCGGCCTGATCCCCGTCGCAACTCCGCACCCTCCACCCCGTGCACGCTCTCCCCCTCGATCCATGCTGTCGGCATCTCCCCTCATTACGAGCTGTTTCCGCTTCCGTGCCTGCGAGTCCGCGTCCGCGTCTCCCTTCACGGGTCTCCTAGCCTACCTGCGTCTCTTCATAGGCGAACCAGCTAGCCCCACCCTCTTCGCTCCATTCTGAAATTTCTGTCTGTTCGCCTGTAGCCATCACATCGAACAAACTGTTTTCCCTGTATCCCGAAGAGGTGGCTCAATGCATGAGCGATTGGCCATCGCACCGGAGTCCATCCACGTCGACCTCGTGCGACTCTTCACCTCAGCAGGAGGTCCACCCACTGCTGAGATGCAATCCCCTGAAACCCACCGACATCACCAACCACGGTGTATACCCGCTTACTCGTAGCGTTCCTTTCCAAGGCAGTCTCCTTTCCGGCTTAGCCGTCAAGAAACGGCGTTCCTCCAGTTCTCCAGAGGAATCCCACTACCGTGAGAAAATTCCCCACCTTGAATCTGCCTTATGTCGATCAAGAGCATCCGAAGTAGAGCCAGAAGAACCCTCTACCTCCTCTGGTTTACGTTTACCTGTAACACCACCAGA